CTCAGTTAGCTTAACGCAGTACACGTAGCAAGGGTTTTTAAAATAATATAATAAATAACAAGAAAACCGATAGAATAGAAAAAGAATAGAGCAAGCTGTTAGAGGTCTTTTTTGCTTTTGTTAATTGTATAATAAATAAAAAGAATACAGATAGAATACAAAAAGATTAGAAAGCAAGTGTTAGTTTTTTTTTTTTTTAAAGAAAACAATCAGCAAATGAATAGAGTGCATGTCTAAAAGGGACAAGTGTTTTTTTTTTTTTAAATAGAATTAGAATATAATAATAAAATATTATATTATAAGATCTCTATGCACACACTGTAAAGACATTGGTAGATGTAAACATGTTACAATGGTAGACACTGTAAACAGACTGTGTGGTCACAATTATGAATATGGGACTACTGTACTGATATAATCTTGTATTTTTCATGTACAATAAGCAGAATAATTGCAACATATGGTTATAAAGCATGAAGCTTGTGGTGTCAGAACGCCAGTCTATCAGTCAAATCCGAAGAATTTGAAGACGCAACCCATTGCAACGCGTTATGGCGTCTCAGATAGTCTGGCGGCAGATAAAAGTAAACAATAAATGAATGAGTGATCGTAACAAAAGTGTGCATCAAATACACTGAACGCGGAAGCTCAAATGTGTGTGACGTGCTAGAGACAGACCTCACTGGTTTTTGCATGTCACACGCGTATATTTCTTCTTATTTTGGTTTTAATGGCAGCTGAGCACGCACATTTGAGCATCTTCTTTTCCCGTTTAATGGCCGTTGATAAACCCACTTAGGTGCATACCTACTGCATGACACCGGCATTACAGCTGACGTAAAATAAGGATCGGGCTGAGGAGAGCCGATACCGATCAGTTAAAATGCTTCATTTTTATTTTATTATTATTTTTTAAAATTCAATTAATTGGAAAAATACGTTGGTTCAAATCCACAGAAAATGTGTTGGTTCATTTTAATGCACTATATAATAACACTACTATTTTATGTTTATAGCTAGCTAACTAAATAATAACATATAGCACAGATATTTGAAGGTAGCTCTATCGCCCCCTTGAGTACCGGAGAACATTACTCCTGTACAGCGGGCCGTGTGTTCACAATGTTTTGGCCGTGTATTTGTGTCTGTTTTCACATACTTGGCAAGAGAACATTTTTGATTGAAAGTCTGCCTCATTTTCACTGATATTATTAAAAATGTGCCTTTTTTGTCCTCTGTGCTGCTTATTAGATCTGCAAATATATTGGAGTATAAGGGCTGAAATTGCCCTGCTCTCAGCTCACAGTTTGATCTCAGAGGGTGTTTATAATGCGCCACAGTGTTATTAAATGCACCCTGATTTGGCTGCGAGATACAGCAGTGGCCATTCATTTGCAAAGGCACCGCAGCCTCTTAGGAATCGCGGGCCTTCAAAAGATGCCTCCATGTTTTAATATTCATTGCTACAAGGGGCCAGATAGTGTCTTGGTTTGTGTGTGTGTGTGTGTGTGTGTGTGTTCTGATATGAATGCAAAGAGGTTGCTCCTAAACATTCGCCCCCTTACTCGTGAATAATTTGATCAGTCTTGTCACCCCTGAAAATTGAGCTTGATTGCTATGAATGACTCAAGAGTGTTTGTCTCTCCTCCATCACTTTCTCTCTCTTTTTATAGGGATTTCCTTCCCCGAGGCTCCGGCATCGTCACCCGCAGGCCTCTCATTCTGCAGCTAGTTAACAACAAAGCTGGTGAGTGTGTTGATGAGCACAGCACAACCAAACAAAGCCTTCTCAGGTATTTTTAGTATGTATGTATGTGGAAGGTTGAAACCACATGCTTTCATGTGTATTCATACTCAGTGCCCATAGTGTTTATGCTGGAGCTAAAGAGGTGTGACATTAAATTGGGTGTAAAAAAAATGTGTCGCATCAAATGACACATCGAGGGCCCTTTGAAATAATATATGTATATGTATATAATTGTATAATGCATGTAGATAATTGTTTTGTTTAGTTGTTTTAACATTTTAATGGTTTAAATACATTTTAATAATCAAAAATCAGTTGAATTCATAAAACTTTAATCATTTAATAATGTATTGCAATTTTAACAATAATAGAGCCCTTTGAAATGTTTTGTTTTCTGTTTTATTTTTTCTGCAGCCAGTGTTTTATGATTTTGATATGAATTTATAATCAAAAATGGTGGTTATCAAATGAATGCATAAAACATTAACTACACCTTAAAATTTAATCAAATGACATTTGAACAATTCCTTTCATTTTTTTTTGACAAAGAAAGCGATACACAATAGAGGTTTATTCTAATTAAATGAAATTTGAACAATTTAATTCTTTTTTTTTTTGATGAAGTGCTAAACAATAGAGTTTACACAATAGATAATTTATTCATACAAATTTTGTCAAATTCTGTGTTATAAAGTAAATAAATTGTAGTTTTTATGACTGGATCTGCATCACAGAAATTATTGGGCTCTATATCAGTCAACAAAATGTATATACTTATTTATTGCAATTCCTCTTACTAGTGGCACAGAAATGACGCTTCAGCTATAATAACGTCATCTTATTCTGTTTCCATACATAAAGAAAGTTCCCCTCTGAAAATTCCCCTTCTAACATTTACATCTCTCAGCCACTTTAAAGCAATTATCATCATTTATATTGTTTTCAGCATGAGGCACTGTAATGTAGCGAGAACAAGAAAGTGCAGATGGAAAATTAATTCCCGACAGAAAGACATTACCGAACAAATTATCTTCCAAATGAGTGCAATTGACCATAAAGTTGAACATAGCAAAGCTGAACTGATGTCTGCTTGTATATGCACATTATCTGTGGATCATTCACATCATTGGGAATTGAAAAACAGTTTTTATTCCCGGCCAGTTCCATTTTGAATTAATACTAGAACGAAATGAATTTTGGTTCTGATAATGCAGAGGAGGGAAAATAGGAAAAGGGAAAAATGAATTCATTGAAGCATGTCTTCATTTCTAATTTTAGATTTTTTACATTGATATGAAAATATAAGTTCAATTCAATTCAATTGTGTGTGTGTGTGTGTGTGTAGTTACGTAATGCATTTGACCCATGGCCCTCAGTTTTTGTTTTTGGACCTTTGTATTGAAAATGTATGTGGAACAGTGTTATTTTAGTCTCACTGAAATGCTATTGTATTTTTGTATAAAAATTTTGAATATTTTTTATTTATTTTTATATTTCCCATTTTCATTTTAATTAAAATAGTAATTTTGTGGTGTTTTACTATTTCTATATGTTTTTTTTATGTCAATATAATATAATTTTATGAATTTCAGTTTTAGTTATATTACTACTAAAATGTAGCTAAAAGAAAATTAGTAATGCTGTTTTGGCACCTAAAAAAGGGGTTTCAGGTTACATTTATTTTAATTCAAGTATGGAATTTTATTTGATTTGATTTGATTTTTTTGTAGTTAATTATAAGAACTTGTGTAATGCTATCTCTCATGCTTTATGACAGTGATATGGTTTAGCCTTTAGGTGATAATATTACTGTATGGTTTTCATGTCTTTTTTGCCTTGATGCTGAAATGTCATCGCTCTAAACCACACACACTCCATCGCTCTGTTTGTAGAATATGCGGAATTCTTGCACTGCAAAGGAAGGAAGTTCGTGGACTTTGATGAAGTCCGGCAGGAAATTGAAGCAGAGACCGACAGGATTACCGGGTCCAATAAGGGCATCTCTCCTATTCCCATCAACCTGAGGGTTTACTCGCCACACGGTAATACAGCACAAGGTTCCCTAAGACCACAGCTTTCCTTAGTCCACACTTGGCAGCCATTGTTAAAATGTCACTCGTCTCTTTCTCTGTTCAACAGTATTGAATCTGACTCTCATCGATTTGCCCGGTATGACTAAGGTTGCCGTGGGCGACCAGCCGCCAGACATCGAGCATCAGATTCGAGACATGATTATGCAGTTCATCTCTAGGGAAAGCTGCCTGATCCTCGCTGTCACCCCGGCCAACACTGACTTGGCCAACTCGGACGCTCTCAAGGTGGCTAAGGAAGTGGACCCTCAAGGTGAGGATTGCTGGGAGGGTTACACACGGATAAAATTACAAAAGGATGTGTATAGAGTTCACATAGTCATGGAAAACCTGGAAATATCAACTATAGCAAACCATATTATAAGTGAATCTGTCTTTATGAGCGAATAAAGTCTTTTGAGGAGCTTCTTAGTGAATCACAGATGGTCTGAATGATTCATTAGTGAATCAACCTGACTTAGAATTTTGGTCCAGTAATAATAAATGACTGGAAATGTTATGGAAATTCATTGGTCAAAAGAGTGGGAGCCCTGTGGGTTGAACACAAACCCTGATGATGATGTTGTTAATGTGTTTTTGTTTGTTTCAACAGGACTGCGTACCATCGGTGTGATTACTAAACTGGATCTAATGGATGAGGGTACAGATGCCCGGGATATCCTGGAAAATAAACTCTTACCACTGCGTAGAGGTGGGCAGTTTGTACTTAACACAGTCACATTACAGCAGTGTCATTTATGGACAATTTCTTATTATTTATGAGTCATTTTATGTCATGCTATTCAAAAGTTTGGGGTCGATAAGAATTTCTTGTTTTGGAAATTAAAAAAAGGATAAAAAATACTGTAAAATTGTGACGTATTACAATTTAAAATAACTGTTTTCTATTTTATTATATTTAAAAATATAATATATTCCTGTGATACAAAGCTGAATTTTCAGCAGTCATTACTCCAGTCTTCAGTGTCACATGATCCGTCAGAAATCATATCTTTGATGAATAGAGAGTTAAAAAGAACAGCAATAATCTGAAATAGAAATCTTTATACATGTCTGTTGCTTCTGATCAATTTAATGCATCCGTGGCCGTGCTGAATAAAAGTATAAATTTCTTTAAAAAAACATTTTAAATATATATATAATACTGACTGACCAAGCTTTTGAACAGCAGTGCATCTTATGTAATTTGAAATTCAACAAAAAATATAATATAATAACTATTCTCTAGGAGGAGAAGAAGCTTCCCATATATTTTTGTTGACTTACTGTATAGTATTCGAAAGTTCTTTCTTCTTGTCCTGACTTGTTTTGGACATGTCCTGTCCTGTATTTTTACACCCCTTACTGTTTCTTTGTTATTCTCACATGTAAATAACATGAAGCATTCATATCCACTGATACTAGTGCATATATCAGTCGCAGTATAAACAATATTGCAAAATTTCAGTTGACACATTTCTATCATTGCACGGTGTATATATAGTCAAATCGTCCAGCCCTGGCACACGCCATTTATTGCCGCTTTCCCTGTCCCAGGTTATATTGGCGTAGTGAACCGAAGTCAGAAAGACATAGATGGCAGGAAGGACATTCGCGCTGCACTGGCAGCAGAAAGGAAGTTTTTCCTGTCCCACCCCAGTTACAGACACATGGCTGAACGAATGGGAACACCACACCTGCAGAAGGCCCTCAACCAGGTAGGACCAAATCGCTTTTACGCAAAATGCTGTTATGGATTTGCATAAATAACTGGCGATTTTAGAAAAGATTTGTGTACAGTTATGTAAATGAAGCTAATGCCTGAAAACGACTTAATTTAGTCAATGTCACCTTCTGTTTTGTGCCTTTCTGTGTATCACTTCCTCTTCTTTTATTTTTAGCAATTGACCAACCACATCCGGGACACGCTACCCGGCTTGCGCAGCAAACTCCAGTCTCAGCTTCTCTCTCTGGAAAAAGAGGTGGAAGAGTATAAGAACTTCCGCCCGGATGACCCTACGCGAAAAACCAAGGCCCTGCTGCAGTGAGTGTTTACGGCAGGTCACTGACTCAAGCAGTTTCTGGGCTATAAACTGTAGACAGATGTTTATAGCTCTGAGTACCTCTTTCAGGATGGTCCAGCAGTTTGGAGTGGACTTTGAGAAGTGCATCGAGGGGTCCGGAGACCAGGTGGACACGGCAGAGCTGTCCGGAGGTGCCAGGATTAACCGAATTTTCCATGAGCGCTTCCCCTTCGAGCTGGTCAAGGTAAATGCTTCGTTTCAGCAGAACACTTAGTTTTGTCTGCTTTTGAGCTGATAAAGTTGGTCTGAATGTCTGGAAATACTACTTTGATCTTTAGATAACACGTCCCAACAAGTTTCCGGGAAACCCGGTATGCCACACAGGTGCGGTGGCTTATGAAGTCTCTCTTTCTCTTTCAGATTGTGTTTGACGAGAAGGAGCTCCGGCGAGAAATCAGTCACGCCATTAAGAACGTCCATGGTGTCAGGCAAGTGGTGTCCCGTTGACGGCAAGCGATCGTCAGCCCTGCAGGCCATATGGCGGCATGAAAGCCACAGCACTTCTTATGTCCTCTGTTCAGTGACTAATATCTCACTCTTTCACTCGTCACACGCATTCTTTCTTTCTTTCTCTCTCGTGTGTTATAGTAAGGCCATGCTTTCACAACACAGCTACCAGAATCGCTTTACTGCTCACGGTTTTTCTTATCATCTGTCTTGTTTTAAATATAATTAAAATCGTACATATCGCATCTGTTAGTAGATGTATATATCAGTAATAGTGGCATTTTAAAGTATTTTCTGCATGTCACCACCGTTTTCAACAATACCATATTTTCCAGAAAATAAGCCATTCTTGACTATAAGTTGCATCGGGTCAAAATTTGCAGTCTTTTATAAGTCTTTTTTCTTACATTCAGAAATCATGTAAAATAAAATAAAAAATACATTGAATAATTTACAAACATTATAAAATCATATACAAACATGTATTTTAGTTTCCCTTACTAAAATCCTTTAAATTTAACTGTTAACAGAACAGAACAGGAATGGAAAAATCTTATATAAAATATATATAAAAATATATATATATATATAAAAAAGGGTTAAAACTGTCATATTTTGTAGAGGCATTCATTATAAACAACATTATATATTATTAAAGACTAGCCTAAATAAATGTATTTAAAGTGAAACTGAAACGACTGAAACGAGTAGGGAAATTTGCTTTATTAATAAAGCTCATGTACTTCTCACATTTGGCAAATTCAAATTCAAATCCATGTTTTGCTTGCTTGACGGTAAGTGCATTATATAAGACATATCGGAATATATGTCTGATGAAAAAGTATATATAATATATGTCTTACACTGCCGTTCAAAAGTTTGGGATCAGTAAGACTTGTAATGTTTTTTAAAGAAGTCTCTTCTGCTCATCAAGGCTGCATTTATTTGATAAAAAAAACAGTAATCTTGCAAAATGTTATTACAATATAAAATAATGGTTTCTATTTTAATATCCTTTAAAATATAATTTATTTCTGTGATGCAAAGCTGAATTTCCATCATCATTACTCCA